GGGTACTCGGTACCACCGGTACTTAAGAAAACCTGGTACCGTAACGTTTTCATTTTTTTAGTACCGACTTGGTACCGAAATACCGGGTCTTTTGACAACACTACTCGCACAGCTCCGGGGGGTGAGCAAAGGCCTCCTGTAGCAAATCGATGCGTTTTTGTAAGAAAAATATCAATATTCAAACCGTAATAATCACTTCAATCTAGCTTGTGCCAACAGTTGTACACGGAAGCAGTTCCGGGCGGATGACGTATGAGGCATGAGTTTTTAGGATTATTTGATTAATAGAAAGTTGGAAAGAACAGCCTTTTTTTTAAAAATAGAAATGTTTTGCAACAATGTATAAGGCTTTACTCTCACTTTTGATCAAATGCATCCTTGTTTAAACCTACTGTGCGCCCCTATTTTTGAGCATTTTCTGAAAAACGACATACCCAAATAAAAATGTCTGTAGCTCTTGAACCCTATGGTCTAATAGTTGATTGAATATTGTTTTAAAACAAAGGTAATAAATAGCACAGACACGCCTAAACACGCCCTTCCGGCCCGTGGGCATTCCTTGCTTTTTTTCTGATGTGAAAGAGTGGTAAGAAGGAATCCATTTAGAGATCACATTTTTCTGCAGTTTTCTGTGTAGACATGGGATGAAGGGTGACAGTAGTACCTTAACCTTGATATTAACTGTTCATGCCAGAAAAGCCCATATTTAACATTTAGGTTTGACCACTGATGTCCTTTCACATTTTTTTTTGGCTCATATTCTTTATTCCAAGTCTTTTATCAGGCTGTTATGTAGAAAGCATAAGGGTTTGCAAAAAACAAGAGAATAAGACACAAACAGGTTGTGGTCCTCTTGATTTCACTTTTTTGGGGAGCTGAGTTTTTATCATTTGGGTGTGCTTTGGGAACTCATATCTGAAATGAATATTAACAATAAAGCATCGCAGTGCATCAGAAAGACAAGCTGTGATCTTTTTTTAGGGGACATCTACTAAACTGAAGAACTAGTGAACCATGGTCTGGTATACATTTTTTATAAGCATATCCAGATTGCAACATTTATGCTTCTTTAACAAATTTAAAAATAGCATTAGCTCATGTTTTATGATGCCGAGAGAGAGAATTTTTGATGCCCATAGGCATGATGGTGCTTCCTTCATGGTAAAAAGTGTTTATTAATTGATTGTGTGCCTTTAGCTCTTCCTCTTCTGTAATTCATTCAAAGCCTTAACTTGTTAGCACACTTGTTTCCCAGAAGGAATCTGTGTTGAAGTATATTCAATAAATAATGCATAAATAAATGCATGTAAAACCATGTTGCTATCATTTGAAAGTGTCGATTTCATATTGAAATACCTACCAGTTGTAACATTTAGCGTTTGCTGTCAGTCTATTAAGTTTAAGTATGTCTTGCTTATGTGAGGAGCTAAAACGTGAACCTTTTGATTTCAGATGGATGGAGGCCTGTCTGGGGGAGCAGCTGCCTCCTACAACAGAACTGGAGCATGGCTTGAGGAATGGCGTCTATCTTGGAAAACTGGCTAAGTTCTTTGCTCCCCAGTTGGTGTCAGAGAAGAAGATTTATGACAGGGACCAATCTCGTTATAAGGTACTGATTTTCTGATGTTATTTATTGGTTTTTAGCAACTCTTTAGCTCAGCACAGAATTACTGTATGTTACCTTACGTTCACACAGCCACTCCTAAAAAGTACATTTGGAAAGTCACACCTGTTAGTAAATACAGGTGTCAAGCCCAAACACTGACTGTGTGAACATAGCCAGTATGTCACATTGCTTTGCCAGGATGTGCCTTTTCAAATGCAACACAGACATCCTCACATCCTGAAAGTCTCATTCCCATGGGAGGAGAAATATTAGGGTGGGAATTCCCTGAGACTGAATTGTGCCCACTGATAGTGATGTTTATTTGCACATGCTATCTGCATTGTTTTAGTACCTGATTCACTAAAGCAATTATGCAAATCAGGTAATGATGCATACACACCCAGTAATTTTGTGGTGAACTCAATTTGCATGCCACAGCATAGAAAGTGGCATGTTTGTGCTGAAACTAATGATAATTATCGCCACTTAAGAGCATTTAGTACCTGGTTAATTAAATTTAGAATAACTAGACTATATTGCCATTCAAAAGTTTTGGGGTCGGTAAGATTTTTAAAATGTTTTTAAAAGAAGTCTCTTACGTTCAGCAAGGCTGCATTTTTGTAATCAAGAATACAGTAACACAGTAATATTGTGAAATCAAGCGTCAGAGTCAGTTCTGGCAGGTCACGTTAGTCAAGCTCGCATCAGCTGACTCTCAGCTGATCCACGTCTACCTATAGGGATGCGACACCTATCACAGCACTCATATATAAGGTCCTTCAGTATTATCACCAGCTTTGCGTTGCTCAATAGCTAATTACTCTCCTCCATCCCCATCTCCTTCTCTCGTTAGTCAGGATTCGACCTTCTGATTCTCCTTTGAATCAGACTAATTTGTAAAATGTTACATTAAATTATTGAACTTTTATGATATCTGCAATCATTTATGTTGGTTCTGTTCTGTTTACCCTGGGGGGTTATTACTGCTCTCCCTGCTCTTATCCATGCTAGGCTGCATGGATGCACAGGGAGTTCTTGCCCAGAACAGAACCATACCACTAATCCAAACTGTATGCTAATTGTCAGTCATCTTTGACGATAGTGGTCCTGACAGAAATTTTATTACAATTTAAAAGAACTATTTTATATTTTAATATACTGTGATAGCAAAGCTGAATTTTCAGCAGAAATTACTTCAGTCTTCAGTTTCAGATGATCCTTTAGAAATCATTATGATATGCTGATTTGCTGATCAAGAAATATCAGTTGTGCTTTTTGATATTTTTTGTGGAAACCATGATACTTTTCTCAGGATTCTTTGATGAATATAAAGTTCAAATGAACAGCATTGATTTGAAATAGACGTCTTTTGTAAAATGGATCAGTTTAATGCATCCTAATTAGACGATATTTTATTTAGATAGTATTAATTTCTTAAAAAAACAAATTACTGACCAAAACTTTTGAACGGTAGTCTACCTGTCTGATGCATTTCAATAGCTCTGATGCATTTATTAGAAACAAAAGTCAGTGAGGAACAGACTCCCAACACTTTCAAGCTTTATATGTAATTCCATTTTAACAGTTCATGAAATGTGCATGAAACATGTTTCTGTTGCATGTATTTATTTTGTTTTGTACTTTCTCCAGCACTCAGGACTACATTTCAGACACACAGATAACACTGTGCAGTGGCTCAGAGCCATGGAGTCCGTTGGTTTGCCCAAGGTGAGGCCCAAGCACACACTTTCAAAGAAACAGACACACACTCCCACACACATATCCTTGCCATCTTCTCTCTTTGAAGATAACAGTGCATTTTATTAGATTAACATTCAAAAGAAGTTGGCTGAATCAAACAAAACAAAACTGTCCCCTGTACACGTAGGGTGCCCAGTTTGACAGTTTGGATGAGAGGATGGATAGTTATTTTATGTACCATAAGATGAATGCATAAATGCTTTTATTGAATATTTACTCATGGTTCGAGTTGTTGACCCATGGTTCGAGTTGATTTAGCAATGGCCCTGTCAATCACTTTCACTCAAGGGTAGAAAAGCAAAAGCTTCCTCCAAGTATAATGCAAAACTGCAATGTGCAGTGCATTACATAAAGCCACAGAAGCAAAAGGGCATCATGTTTAGATACACTATATAGATGCACACCGAAACACAACACCCATATGTGCTTGTTAAATATTTTCAAGAGCATTGACATTATTAGGGAGTTGGACCGCTCTTTGCTTCTACAAGGAAGATTTGCCACTAGATTGTGAAAATGGCTGCAAGGGTTTGCTATAATTCAGAAATGAGCATCCAGGTCAGGTATTGATGTTGGGTGATGAGGTCTGATTCACAGTCGCTGTTCAATTCATCCTGAAGGTGTTCAGTGGGGTTCAGGTCTGGAGGCCTGTTCAGACTCGGTAAATCATTTCTGTATAGATCTATATGGCTTGATCTTGCAAAACTGTTGCAAATAAAGTTGGCAGCACACAGTTCTCTAGAATGTCATTGTCACTGTGTGCGGTAGAAATGTCTTCATTGGAATAAAAGAGATAGTTCACCCAAAAATGAACTCTCCAAACCTGTATGAGTTTCTTCTGTGGAACATGAAAGAAGATATTTTGATCAATCAATCAATCGATCAATCAATCAATATGTTCCACACAAAAAAGTAACACAGGTTTGGAACAACATTAGGATGAGTAAATGATCACCGAATTTTCATTCTTGATTAACTATCCATTTAGTTAGTATCCATTTAGTACTATCCATTTTGAAAGAAATGAACACTTTTATTCAGCAAGGAAAAATTAAATTAGATCATTCTGAAAAAAATTTATCATAGTTTCCACAAAACTTTTAAGCAGCACAGCTGTTTACAACATTGATAATAGCAGCATATTAGAATTATTTCTGAAAGATCATGTGACAATTAAGACTGGAGTAATCACAGATGAAAATTAAGGAATAAATTACATTTTAAAATATATTCAAATAGAAAACAGTTGTTTTAAATAGTAATAATATTTCACAATATTGCTTTTTTAACTGTATTTACAAACATATAAAAAACCCTACTGACCTCAAATGTTTGAATGGAAATGTTCAGTAATTGTAGAGTATTATTTATTAAAAATATTGAATATTGCTATTCCTCTTTCAGATCTTCTATCCTGAGACCACCGATGTGTATGATCGCAAGAATATGCCCAAGGTGATCTACTGCATTCATGCACTGAGGTACTGTAGACCTTTTTTTTCACTGAATATTTATATCAGATTCACCGGCTGTGAACTAATAAGGTTTGCTTGCTTCATCAAGTTTTATAACCTGAAATTATAAAAATGGCGGTTACTCTGTGGTCATGGTTTCACAATCTCTCAGTTATGACAACAGGTTTGTAGAGCATCAGCATGTATGACTGCTGGTTCCTCTTGGCAGCCATTGTCATGACAATCTCACCACTGAGAAAAGCAGACGCCTTGTGGTACATCTACCTATCAGGCCTGCTGCTTAACTTCCTGCCAGTCTTAGGTCATTTCCTGTCACTGTTTCCTGACAATTCCTGTCACTATGCTCCAGAGACAAAACTCCTTTTCATACCTCCTCTGTTATGCAGATCGTCCTCAGGTCATTGACTTCCTGAGAGCAGTACAGTAGGATGTAAGCGCATCCATCCAGTTAATGTTTTATGTTTTTATTTGCTTCATGGATAATCTCCATTCAGTTTTTATGGCCTGCTCAGGATTGAATTCTCTGAAGTATGAACTCTGAGGTGTGATCTTGCACTATTATGATATCAGATTCCCGCCCTCCCCTGCAGGAAGTGTATACTCAGAGATTGGCAGAGGTTTCTGTTTCTTGTCGTAGTTTGGCACCAGTGGAAACATGCTACATACAATCTAAAAGCAGTGTCTCGTCTGTCCTACTATAAATGTCTGCCTTTAAAATGAAAGCTCATGAGAAAATATGATCAGAATTGATCACCATGAACTTATGCTAATGCTTTTATTTTTAATAAAATAAAGCATTAAAGTGATCAAAAGTGACAGTAAAGATAGATTTATTTTTATGTTCTGTTTGGTTATTGCTCTCTATTAGATCTATTGGTATTGCTATCTATTAGGTTAATGCTAATTTACAAATATACTGTTACACTATTAATATATATTAAAGGGTTAGTTCACCCAAAAATAAAAATTAGGCTGTGTTTCACTCACCCCCGATGCATCCTAGGTACTCTCCGCGTGCGTCACTTCTGAGCGGCGCATGCACAAAGCAGACCTCATACGTAATTCCCCCGGAACTGCTTCCGTTTACAACAGTGAGCGCAAGCTAGA